TTTATATTTGGATGAAGTTTTCTTGTTGAAGTCTTAAGTATCATAGGAGAAAGTTTATAAGGGGTTTTCTGAAAAGAAAGGAAATTGTGCTGTTATTTACGTATTAATTGTAATTAATAGAAGACTTGGCTCTATAAATTTCAGTCTTAAATAGCTTTAGCTTTTGGAAACACATTTTGGGGGACACGTGCAGTTTAAGGTTTTCTACCACTTTTATGGCCTAGTTTTACTTATAAAGAACTATTTCTATTGCCCAGCTGTTCTTTATTAAGGCTGAGTAAGTCTAGGTATATTTTGGGTTTTTTGGAACATTTTAGATTAAAAATTTTTTAAATCAGCATTTTGACCCAGTTTGTCTTTTCTTGATGGTATTGAACTGATACTTCATTCCTTTCTTACAGAAGTGGTTTTTTGGGACTAAGTGAGGAGGCCTTTCTCTCTTTCAGTCTTGACTGACACTTAAGAGTTGCTAGTTTCAGGGGAGTTCCAGCTCCAGCTTTTGTCTGTTTTCTAGGCACAATATTTGTTTTGTGTGTTTTGGAAGGGGGGCAGTGCTGTGGATTAAGTATTTAAAAAAACTGTGTAGTCAAGCCGAAGAGATCATCCATTATATCTCCTAATTATGATTGAATGTGGGACTGGGCTAAATCACTCTTCCCAGGTGCCAGCTCCTTGATGCAGTTTGTTTTCATTTCTCCATAGCAAGGTGGGGCACGGGGGGAAACCAGTATAATAAGGTGTTTTGTTTTATTTTGTTTTTAAAGGTAAAATTTATTACAGTTTGAAGGACAGTTTTTTTTTTTTTTAGTGTGTATGACAAAGATGTATTTTTATATGGTACTGGTAGATGATAAATTTTTATTTGCTTTTAATGTCCTTTACTAGGGTTAAAAAAAAAAAACCTTACATCAGTTAGCTTGCTTTTTTTTTTCTTTTCCTTTTTTAAAATTTTACTGGCTTTTGAATTATGAAAGTCAAAGTCACTGGGTTACATTACATTTGAGGAAGGAAGAGATTTGTTAAACCAACTGATAGCTGGTAAGGAGTAGAAACTACAGATCCAAGAACGACAAGTGTAGGAATTCTGTGTAAGCTCGATAGCCTTCCCATGGTTTTACTCCTGTGCTTCTTTGTAATGGTTGGTAGTAAATACATTAGACCATGAAAGGACCAGGACACCGTCTTTGGGCCAACGAAGGAGAGTTGAAGAGCATGCATCCCACTTGGCAATAAAACCAGAATGGAGATCTCCAAGCAGTTTGGAGACGGCTATACTAGGAGGAAAAAGGCACCTGTGCCTCTGGGCCTGTGGGTAAAAGAAGAAACGCACTGCGTCTGATTAGTCCTGAGAAGTAGCTTCAGGCTGAGCAGGCAAAAGTCACACCCTCCCACTCCAATTCCTATCAGGTTTTTCAGGCTTAGGTAGTAGCCAGCAATGAATTTGCTGTTCAGATCAATGGGTAGTTCTCTTGTTAAAAAGAAGTTAAACCACTGAAATCAGAGGTGCTGAAAGTTTATAATAGGTATATTTGCACCTTGTGAAATGTAGTATTTTCTTTTTTAAAAAAAAGTCATTAATTTTGCAGACAAATTAGGAAAGAATATTTGTGATGCTCTTAATAGATTCAGGGAGGGAAGGAGTAGAAGTAGGGGCTAGTAGAGATGAGAAAGTAAAGAGTAATATAGGAAGGAGAACAATATTGAGGCTGCATGGAAAATAAGGGTTATATGGACTTGGGTGGTGCAAACAGTTAAGAATGGGCTACTAACTGGAACGTTAGAGGTTCAAACTCACTCAGAGGTGCTTTGGCCGAAGAAGAAGCCTGGCAGTAGAAGCAGCCTGGCAGTCTGCTTCTGAAAGGCCATAGCCATGAAGATCCTGTGGAGTGCAGTTCTACTCTGCAACACATGGGGTTACCATGAGTCAGAATTGACTTGATGGCAACTTTTGAAATTTTTTTTTAATGGACCTGGAAGTTCTGTTGGGGCGGGGCGGTGGTTGGTTGGTGATAACTGATAAGGGACAGAGTGAAATGTACCTCTGGGGAAATAAGTGAATCACTTTTATAAACTTACTTTTAATGGAAATTGGATGAAAGCAGTGTCTCAATTTGTAAAGTGCAATCATTGTTTCAGATTTAATATGGCACAACTCTTAGTTCTCCCAGGTTAATTTGATCTAGTGTCAACATTAGAGTTCTTGGACATATTTGAAGGACACAGAGTGCCAGGGAGACCATATAATGTACTTTGAATGTCGGAAAAAAAACTGTTAATTGCAGGGTCATTTGTATTTTGGTTTTAAAAATTAATCTAGGTTTTATTCACCTGGGACCAACAAAGGAAGAAGGAGTTTCAGGAATAGGAGGAGCATATGGACTGTATGGCTAATTGCCTCCATGAGCAACGACCTCTTTTGTCATGAGACCAGAAGAACGGGATGGTGCCCGGCTAGGCTACCATTACTGGACATTTTGATCAAAGATTCCATAGAATAATCTTGATAAAAGCCTGGGAAGGGGGATGAGAACAAAATTTAAGATTCTTATGGACTCTAGACTTTCTGGAGCGATGCGGGGTGGATGAACCCCTGAAACTATTGCCCTGAGATAATCTTTAAACCTTAAACCTAAAATATCCCCTAAAGTCATCTTAAAACCCTACGATTGTTTAGCTTAACTAATAAAAAAGGTCTGCCTTGAGCATTATGCTCTTTTAAGAAATATCTGTATGGAATCAAAGTGACAATAGCAACTCAGAAGATTAGGTAGAAACCTTAGGGGGGCAGTGAGTTTATGTTAATGAGGAACAACTCAGAAAAGGGGAGTGAGAATGGTTGTATAACTTGAAGAATGCAGTGTCACTAAATTGTACATGTAGAAACTGTTGAATGGGTGTATGTTTTGCTATATATATTCTCAACAACAGCAACAAAATAAAATTTAGAAAAAAAAAATCACTCTAGGCTTTATTGCTTTTTCAGTTACTAGTACTTAGGAATCCTTAGATAAGTTCATTTGAAAGGAAAAAAGAGTGGGCCAGCATTAGAGAAAGGAGCCCTGCTGACGCAGTGGTTAAGCACTCAGCTGCTCATCGAAAGGTCAACAGTTCGAACCCACCAGCCGCTCCACAGTAGAAAGATGTGGCAGTCTGCTTCTGTAAAGATTACAGCCTTGGAAACCCTATGGGGCAGTTCTAATCTGTCTTATAGGGCCACTATGAGTCGGAATTGACTCAGCAGCAGTGAGTTAGCATTAGAGAAGAACCTTGTGAACATTCTGCGTTAGGTCTTACATCTGTCCCACACTTGGGTGGGGGATAGTAGGGTGGTAGAAGCATATAGGTGTGAGAGAAATACATACTGAGTCCATTACTTTTATCTCTATAGTTAAATGCTGGTTATTTCTCAGATAATGGATTCCATCTGCAAAGCTCTGCAGGTAACTGATTAGCTAGGATCTTAGTGCTATTTGCTCCTAAGTTTAGGGGAGGATATATTTGCTTAAGGGCTCTTGGCTCTCAATCCCTCTTCCTTTCCAAGGCTTGGATCTTTTGAGTGTTCAGGGCAAAGTGCAAAGTACTTCCTTTTTCTGTACAATTATTGTATCCTTTATATACTTGTTGGACAGTCCTCCAAGATGCAGTTTATTGGTGTGGGTGCTTTTTGTCAGCCTCTCGTCCATTCAGTGCATATCAAAGGGATTATGTGTTTTATTTCAGAAACTGTTAGATATTAGATAATATTTTAGAAATTGTATAGGTTATATTTATTATTGTGGATAACTTCCTTGTCCCTTCCTACCCTCTACCCTGAAATTGCTAAATCCTTTATTAGAAGATGCCCTCCTTTATTTTTCTTGCATTTGCCTCAGAAATCGCCAGGGCTTATTTAGAATAAGAAACAGAAATTAGCCCTGATTTAGCAGGTTGAAAGTTTTATTACTTATGTGAGAAATTTTTTTTTAAAAATGAGAGATATCTCTGGATGTGAAGGCTGGAATTAGGATTGTTCCTGGAATTCCACGAGAGAAGGAATGGTACAGGGTTAATAAAGGCTGGGCAGAGTCTTGATACCTTTTTAACTGAACTGAGTTTTCAGCTTTTACTTCAAGTGTTACTGGTTTTTAAATATCTTGGTAAAGAACTAAGGGAGATATGCTCTGTCAGTTTATTTTAATATCCAATCATTATGTCAGCACATAATGTGAGTTCAAGTGCCCTAGAATTAAGTTTGAAGAAGTGACTCATTTCTTTAAATCATATTTAGCCTAAGTAAATTTTTGTTTTCCTTTTTAGGACCCTTTGTATCTTGTCTTTAAATGTTAGCTTTTACTCTGCCAAGGTGTTCATCTGAGTCTGGTATTTCAGTGGCAGCTCTAACTGAAACTGCTGTTAGCTGATAAATATTATGGAAGAAGTGGTGGAAACCACCCTAATGTGCAAAGCTTTTAAATTACTTTTCATTGAGATTATACCCCTATCTCTTATTCATAGTTTTTCAGCTCTTTAGAACAGAAGGAACGAACATTTGTTCCGGTCAATTACACCTATAATTTGTAGGTCTACATTCTATCACAGGGTGTAAATAAATGTCCCATTCTTAATAATAATTCTCAGTACTCAATACCTGGCATTGCTGGAAGAGATTACACTTTATTTTCACTCCCAACTTACCAGTTCAAGTGATTGAAAACCCAGGTTTGTAAGTGCTCATAATTACTGTAATAGCCTAAATACAGGATGTTTAGATAAAGGTTTTTTTTTTTCCCCTCCAGGAGGAAAGAAAGTGGTCTAAAAA